AACGACATCCGCATACATATTTATTTGGCGCCCTTTACGATACTTTTACGATACGCATGCAGGTATATGATTATTATTTTGTTTCCCCGCAATTTAGCGAGAAGTGTGACAGCTCAGTCGATAGCAGTAAAATTTGCACCGCGAGGTTGCGGGTTCGCATCTGGGTTTTCCTCCAGATTTTTTTTCCTTTTCTGACCTGAGGCTTCGGAGGAATTTTTTTTAAAGCGAAATGACGTAAAAATTAACTTTTTTTCTAATTTTATATTTTCTTTTCATGTTTTTATAAAAGTTGAGTCCAAAACGCCATAGCGTACACCCATATGTGGATTCGTTTGGGAGAAAAAAAAAATCGCGGGCCGGGAAGGGCTGATGACCTTCACATAATCTTGTGTATGAAGTGGGGATGTCTTTCTGTGTAACTTATCAATGACCTTTGAATAAAAAAAAATATTTTTATAGCTGCAGCTTTTTCAAGAATACAGGCCAGTAAATCGGTGCAAAATTGGCTACGCCGGCCAAATCACGATTTGAATGCCCTCAAATTCTTCGTTATTTGAGCACGTTGTAGGCCATGAACTTGAGGGTTTGTAAATAATAGGGGTAGAAGCCTTGCACAGGACTGTGAGCTTGTAGTTCTGTGTAATTCGGATAAAATTTGGGACCTAAGAGCGCTCTAATTTGCAATGGAGTGTAGGCATCGTTTGTCAAAATGGGGACGGGCTTCAGGACTACTTCAAGAGGTGATCAACTTCGGTTGGAAATTGTTCCTAAAAGTCATGGGTTGACCCCCCAAAAATTGATAAGAAAAGAAAGATGAAAAAATACGCTTTAATTTGATGTGTGTCTTGAACGCTTTGGAGAGTTGTGATTATTTTTTTGTGAATTTGGGAAGTGGGGGTATTTATCATTGGGTTCTATGGCAGTTTATTTACTGGTCAGCAACCTTAAAAGCGGACATTAGTATCGGACAGTAGGTGGCGCTCTTCATCCCTTCTGACTAAGGTGACACGCATTTTGCGACTCGGGCCGATTGTGTCTATTTTGCTTCACGCGTCCCCGCCTGGTTCGGGGAAGAAAAAGTGGGGGGCGGGGGACAAACGATATATGATATCCCCCTCTTTAAAAGTGGGGGGGGGGGGGTAAACTTGCAATGTCCCCTCCCGTCCCTCACCGATTGACGCCCATGCGCCAGACGTACGTGACTGTCGGTGACCGTCACATCAGTTTAATTTTTTTATATAACTACATTCTCGCTGAAAGCATCTAAACATCACATGTTGATATGACACATGTTCAAATTGTACATTTTTTTTTGCGCAGTAGAATGTCAGTATTTTGTGGGAGGCGCCAACATGATATGTGCATAGCCCTGGGTCCGTTATCATGTCAAAAATAGCGTCTGATTAGCATGCGAAGTAGACACAGGACGCTATTTGGCGCGTAATGTTTTAGCGTCCTGCTGACGATCACAGAAGATAAAAAATACCTTACGCAATGATAAGCGGGGAACAGGATATGGGAAGTTTAACATACAAAAATCATCAATGCAATGAAATCCTATTTAGAAGAGTCAACAGTCAACCAAATTTCTGACTACGACGGATGATGAAAGACTCCGCAGGGAGCTAGGTACAATCGAAATTAAGGATTTTGTTATTCATTTCTCAAAGCAAAAAAGAATGAACGTTTAAGTACTGAAATATTAAATTACCTCAACAATATGAGACGAAGAAACTGGAGAAATGTGTAAACTCCAACAATGCACTAGACTGAATATAATATGATACGGAAATTGAGGGACAGAATGATCTCGCGACAAAATGGGCCGAGGATCGTGAATAAAAAGAACAAAATGGAGTCAAAACGTACCACGTGTGATCGTATTATAACAGAAAGTGATCGTATCATAAAAAATAAAAGGCAAATATTAAAATGAGGAAAAAGGTTTGACCAAAAAATTTATTCTTCAAGCTCCGTTGAAAGTCACTTGAAACAATTGTATGGAACATGAAATTTGAGAAATCAACGTATGGGTCAAATACAACAATACAGTCACTACAACCATTTAAAAAAGAGCTAATTCTGTGTTCGCAGGAACTACATTCACAACATAATGTGCAGAATGATTTAAGTCCCACTAAAATAACAACGCAACTACTAAGGGGCAACCAATTAACTCACAAAGCACAATGGCGAAATACTGTATTTCAGAAATTGGATTAAATCTAACACCTTATTTATGTAAAAACGTAACTGATCTGCTGAATGAAGATGGAGACTTCCCATAGAATACCTTGAAAATTGAAAACAAAACAATATTGGTCATTTGACATATTCAAATTGAAAAGGGCTTTAGCAAAAAAATACTGGTTATCAATCATGGCAAACAATAAAGACAATATTTATGTGGATATCAAATTTTAACATACTTTTAACATTAGCAGGCGCGGATCAGGGGGGGGGGGGCAATCAGCCTTGACTCATTTCTTCGCCCTAGAAATGTATTAAAATGATTTGTTTTGCTTTTCGGGGGGGGGGGGGCAAGCAAATTACACCCCAACTGGCAGACTAACCGACAAAAAGACAGACCGATCGACAGACAGACAGACCGACACCATGACAGACAGACAGACAAACAAACAAAAAGCACCCCAACAAACACCCCAAAAAACAACCCGACAAGCAATCCAACAAACAAACACACAAATCCCTTAACTGTCCTATAACTTGAGCCCAACAAACAAACACCACCCCCCCCCCAAAAAAAAAGCTGAAACACAACAACCAAACAATTTACCACAAACGACAACTGAAAAACAAACCGACAAGAAAAAATATCCAAACATAATTTAAAAAAAAATGTGATTGATTGAGGATAAAAATAAATAAAAGCATGGAATAAAAGAAGAATACATGTACATGTTACTTAAAACCATCAGGTAAAAGCCGTAGCCTGGTTCCCAGACCAAAAGATTCTGACTATTCCTGATGAATCTTAGGTCCGGTAGCCTCCGGTAATACATTGTATTACAATTTACGTCACATGACTAAAACGGGAGATATTCCTCCTTTTTCCGAAAAATTCCGAAGTTTGCCGAAGTCGTTTCGTCGACAATCGGATAGCGCACGAGTATATCCGAGTATATAATATAGGTTTAGTTAAAGGGAATATACAACATTTGCAAACATCGAAAAATAAAACTACCAAGTTTTTACGAAATACCTTACTAGGATGTTGGTAAATGACAGTCTAAAGCATCCTGTAAAATTATGGCGCCTGGTGTGGTCATTTTCAAGAAAATTGTATTTTTGTATACATTTCCAACGGTGGTCGGCCGACCACCGTTGGAAAAACCTACCTATTTTTCAACTACTGCTCCAACTTTACCCTTTTATTCAGTCCAAATTTTGTTACCGGATAATAACGATCCACTGTGTTATCGCAAGCGACTGAAATGTATAAAGAGCACTACATGACAATGTCGGTGATAAGGGTAATCAAGTCATCAGGCTTTTTTGCTGGTCACAGAGCCTGAAGCCAGACTAACTGACTGGCTGACTGACCGCCGCTGACTGACAGACTGTCATGTGTGAATTTGATTGGTCACCTATGTTTTAAAGATTAGGCTCATTTGCGGCGTTCATGATCTGGGACCAGCTTTTGACCTAACCATGTATATAGCATCACACGCGTTAGTACTCTGGCGCCGAGTGTGTCATTGCCCTTTTAATACATGCGTAGACAATAAGTCAAGTTTTCATGCCAACCATGGTTACAGTGATCTTTCATACCACTAAAAAACGGATAGTCTACAAACTATTAAGCCATTCTAAATCAATAAAATCGAATTGTGTGTAATCTGTGACTAGCTTAATGGACCTATAAGACATATTGACGTCACGCTTTGTTTATTGTGCGCTTCCCAAGGAGCTTGGTTGCTCTTGTCCCCACCTGGCTCCCATAGGAAAGCGTACATGTATTTGGTAAACAAATATTGACATTATTATGTCTGAGGTCTATAGGCTTAATTGCCTTAATTATCTTGCCAATAATTGAAATAAACGAGTGTTCACTTTGGCTTTATGTATGTCGATCGATTGCAATGATTACTAATTCATCATTTGCTGTCTCAGAGGAATTACTGCGCGATGTTTCACGACGACCATAGTAATTAACTGTAAAAAACAACAATAAACAGCTAAATACAGTATATTGGTCATTTAGATTTTGTTTTTACCCTCTAGTATTCTAAAGTCTGCGCCTCAAAACGTGTCCACATGCTCGTCAACTAATGCGTATAGGGTGGCAAATAATGTGTATGACCACTGTATACATAAAAATGAAAAAGTTGGGTCGTTGGTATTTTGCTGATGCTACTAATTCCGGACATATAATACTTTCCATTCGGTGATTTCCCTGTCTTTGTGGGCGCCCTCGCCGCTACATGTGCAAATTGGAGTACTTCACTTCCTTAATAACTGTTACTTTGTCGAGGTTTTCTGCGGAGAGATCGTTTAAAATCTGACGACCTGGAAAAGTAGAACCAGAAAAGAAATCTACTCATCGGACGGATGTCAACAGCACATTAACAGTATTAAGGGCAAAATTAATACACTGACATCAAAAACGAGGTCAATGACCAATAAGACCTGTATGTCCAACCGTATATGTTCCCCTGGGTGTTCAGCCTGGTATAACTACAATATTAAGGCTCATATATGTATGTCGTTTGTCATAATTTATCCTCGACACCGAGATATTTGCGTCCATGGTGTTTCTTTGCGGAGCTGTTCTTTTCGAATAAAGACAGCGGTAAATTGAGAACAAATAAACTTTATTTTACAAATGAAAAAATATATGAAAAAAAACCCCTGAAACTATTCACCGATAGCCAGGACAACCACCATTGTGATGTAGATATTTTTTTCCGTTTTGGATAAATAATTATGGGACATTGTCAACATTGATACTAAAGGGTTACTACCATAACAGTCGCACATCACTTACCACCCTGTGATGAGTTGGAAGAGCTTGTTCTTCTTCTTCTTCTTCCGCAGGTTACCATCAGCTAAAAAAGACATGTTTTAATGCCTGGTCACTAAATAGGTTTATGTGGCTGTAGAGTTCCAATGTTAGAGTGCGGGTACCTCAAAACAAACGTGATCGAATACCCTTTTCTATCAATTTTTTTTTTACCAAAGATCGATTTGCTGATCAATTGGCTAAGTGTTTTTTTCTACGACATTTTCAATATTAGCCAGTTATGATCGAAGGAATCATTTGCAAAGGTCGACGGAATGATGTATCATTGTGCCAATAATAATCGAAAGAGGGGGGGGCTGGTCATTTGTAACGAAAACGCTTCAAAATAGGAGCGTCACAACGTGTAGACACTGTCACAATCATGTCATGTACATATCCGACGAAAACATCCATATAGTGGTACCACGCTCTGGTATGTGTCGTTTATACACTCAGTTCTCCTTTGACGGTTTACCGTTATCAAAGTTATTATTATGGCGCGCATGCCACTACTAAAATAGCTTTCATAGCGAATATCAAGTAAAAAAAAGTCTAGAACTGGAATTCAGGAAACAAACATTTTGAGCACATTCATGGGTGGCTCACAGGAATTCCATATTTTGAGCCATGTTTGTGGGGCTAGCCTTACCACTTAAGTATTGGCTTCCAAATCAAATGATTACCTGAGGAGTGATAGAGACCTCGTGGTTCTTTCCATGACTCATGAAAGACTTTATTTGGGTGATAGGGAACTCCTCGTCGTGACCACAAACCCTCAGGACCATCAGAAAGTCATCGGAGCTGCAATCAGAGCAGATGGGCCCGCAGGAGTAGGACAACCCAGAGAAATCCACCAGGCGGATTTCTTCCAGAAGCTTTTGCAGATGTTGCAGGACCTGGTGAAGTATTGGCACGTGTAATTGTTTTGCTAATATTTCTGCCTACAAAATTTACGAAGTTTTCCTGCCGTCTTCGTGCACCCGATACATTGTTTGCAACAAAGTGACATATTCTGTTACTGCAGAGGTCGAGAAATTGCGTTACCCATTAGGTGCGGCACTTTTCGTTCTCGAAGACGATGATGATAAGATGACATTTTAATTGTCAAAACTATTTCTTCTTACAATTCTCAAAAAGGTTATAAATAATGCTCTTTACATAGTATACCAAAGCCTATATTCATACCTGTAAACTCCGCTGGTTGTTTACGGCGCTACGCTGGATCGTCACTTGGATGGTGTTCTGTGAGTGGGATACCTTTCGCAGTTGTATGGCGTATAAATCAGCTGCCTCGTACCTGAAACGGCCTCTAGTTTTAAACAACTACAGTAAACAAAAAAAGTGCGTTTATTCTCAAAACAAATTCACCAATATGACGGCAAAACAAATATAGGAATTGCGCGTCCGTATTCATTTGAGGACGCTACATAAAAAAACTTTTAAAAAATCATTTTTGTCAGTGGAATATAGTGATATGCAGAGAGGCACAGCTTACGTTAACAAAATACTGCATAAAACCTGATTTGGTGTTGCTTTCATCCTTCAGTTGATCTTTCCTTGCTTGTTTTTTTTTAAACAGATTTGACCATGTAAGGTCACACCGTACATTTTACTCACATGATTGTGATTATCCCTGCCGCAACAGCACTTCGCCAGCAGACGATGGAAGATTGGGTCTGGAGACACGTGCGCGAAGTCGAAGTAGTACACCTCATCATCTTCCGAAGGCACCCAAAATGTTGCTTCGTCCCCGGTGAAGTCTGGAAGATGGCTTGGAAGGATGCAGTAATCGGGAAGCTGACCGGATTGAAGACACTGGCAAGATTCCGTGCATTGTTCCTGATGCGTTGTTCCCGAGTAGGCAGGTATCAGTAAATTATAGGCCTCCATTAGACGTAAAAAGGCCAGGATGGTCTCTACTGAACCAGCAATGGCCTGGATGAGATTCCTGGAGGCAATGCCTTTTGTTTCGAGTTCTAACCAGTCATCGGCTAGGTTTCTGCTGCGTGATTCCCTCGGAGGAATGCGAACGATTGCCTTCAGGCGATCCATGAGTTCTTGTGGTCTAATTACGACATATCCTTTAAGGATCTCGTCATCCTCTCTGTATATGACATCTCCAGTGCGGTGTAAGCTTGACAGGACCTCATGGAAGTCTTCCAAACTCAAGTTTTCTTCCTCGAGTGTTTGCAGAAGGTCAAAAGTGCTTATAATCCACGGCAGAGGGCAACTTGCCTGCCTATTTCGTATTTTGTTCAGAATACGAAGGTTTCGAATGGGAAAGTGCTCTGTCATGTGAGATGTCTTCTTTGCCATAGTGGTGACAGATTTCTGAAGATGGAGTCCGTCTTTGTCCATCGGTTTGGAATTCTCTACGACGTACAGCGGTCCCTTATCATCGTTGAGTGCTAACATACTACAGAAGTCGGTGTAGAGAGACTCGTATATCTGAGCTGCGAATCTGTCTATAAATTCCCTCGTGACGCTATCCCGGTGAGTGCCGACAATGAAAACAAGGGTGTTCGGTTCTGGAGACTCCGGCATCTTTTCGTTCTTCGCGATTCTCTCAGAGTGAGCTTTCAGTGAGAAGAGCCACTGTCGTAAACGTTGGTGCTGCTCCTTTTCATCTTTTCTGGCATCTTCCAGATTGAACACCACGAGATAAACAGCCTCTGCTGGTCTAAAGAACTGCTGCATGGTCTGATAGACATTGCCTCCTGCATTGTCCCATAACTGCAACTTATAGCTAACTGGGTTGTCACCGGTAGCAGAGTCCATCAGAAACTTACGAAAGATTGTAATGGGGATCGCATTTTTTTCCAATTGTACAACCTTCTGGGCCACTAATAAGTCGTATGTTAGGAACCCAAAAGCAGCTAACGTGGAAAGAAACATTGAGCAAGCTGTGGATGTCTCGCTGAAAAACATCAGCCTCCAACCAATCAGGTGCCCCATTATAATTCCAACGACGAAGCCAAAGGCTTTTTTTAGAACGTAAGGGGGCATAAGCTTCTTAACAGCAACAGTTTCACGACCCTTCAGGACTCCGTAGGCATTTCCAAAACCCATGAATACACCCAAAAGAAAAACGGGCACGTACGGGTTCCCGGAGTATCCAGTCCACGTAAAAGCAATACAAATGACAACAGTGAAACTCGCTGCAGCTTCTTTGAGACTCCTGGTCATATGTTGAACGAACTTCATGCCAAATCGTACAAGGAGGGGGCCACACAAGTTGCCAATAGCCAACACAAGTACTTCCTTGTCAAAAGACATACTAGACTTTGAAGTCGGAGTCATGATACAGAGTGCAATGGCAACACCACTTCTACACCCTAACCCACACAGCAAACCGAAACAGGTACTTATGCCACACACACCTGAGTACAAAACTGTCGCGACAACAAACGCCCATACACGATCTTCGGGCCGACTAACTCCTAAGCCAGAAGTGAATTTTGTCGCTCGGATAGTGGCTTCTACAACAATGATCTGAAATACGATTGGGATGACAAAACGGTACGCCGAATTAAAATCCGACTTGAGAAAAAATGCATGACACATAATCAAACCAAGCCAACACAGTACTCCAAAGTCAAACAGGAAATAACAGCAAGCGATTATAAATAGTACAATTGCAGAACCAGCCATCTGCATTTCGGTAACGGCAGATCTACAGATCCACCGAAAAGCCTGTTTGGCCCCATTGATGCCATCACAGGCGGTATCTTTCATCGGTCTGTTTTGTGGTTGGTCAGAGCTGTCGTTTGTTGACTCTCGATCTTTTTCTTTGCGTTGAAGAATTCCTTCAAAGCTGTCGATATTATCACAAACACACCAAGCCGCGGAAAGAGTTGGGTCGTCTGCTGACGATGGGCTTCCGTCATCACGGCAGGCTACCCAGTCCGACTTCTGCTCAGATGTCTCGCACTGGGTGATTTCGATCCCCTCCGTTGCCTTTGGCTCCTCGCTAGGATCACACACTTCTCCCTGTAGATACTTTAGGGTACTAGTCTTCCCGACACCTTTGTCACCAACGGTGATGATCTGTTGACGATTACAGGGCAGAGAACCGTTGTTGAGTGCATCCTTGTAATCCTGGTGCAAACGTTCATCATTAGCTAGCACGCTGCGATTGAAACTGCGACCGAAACCTTTGTAACCGGAGAGGTAAGCTAAAACTTTGCCATCCATGTTCTTAACCTGTTTGCATGAACAAAATATAAAAAATCACTAGTCACTATGGTGTTTAAATGTTCATTTCACCTATTTAATGAGAAGCAAGGAAAGATAATTTTAAAATACATACGATGTATCACCTATTTTTGGCAAAATTTTCAATACAGTAATTGTGATATTTGCTCGTCTGGAGGCTTTTTGAATAAACGTAAAGGGATGCACGGTGAGGGTCCTAATGGGAAGTCCATAACTTACCAAACGCCTCCATCCTATACTCACGTGTTTCAAAATATTTACTTAACAGTAGTTGTTTACGAGTTTAGATTAGAATCAGACATGAATGGCAAAGTCTGCTTTCTAAGTGTTTACCAAAAATCATCCGATGGGTTAGTTTGTTGAACTAACCATGTATATTTTCACGAAAAAGTCACAAAGGATGTTTGGAAAATGTTTATACCTAAAATTTGGAATGCGTGTCTACGAGCGCAAAATACATGTATAATTCAGAAGTCTTAACGACAAATACCAAAAATGTTATTTTTACGATATTGCTAAAAAAATGGTATGATCAAAACTGTAGTTTTCTTTACAGGTACGTCAACGTTGTTTCTCTCTTTTCGTTTGGGTCCCATTGGTCTTCTTTAGTTATTCAACCCGATGAAGGGTAGTAATGACATGCAGACATTACGCATATATTAAAATGTATACTTAATCAATTGTAGTCTGGCTTGTATAACAGTTGTATTTGGGGTCTGCAACATCAAGACTAAAAATTGAAGAAGAAAAAACAATATCAGTCTGGTGGTGTTTGCACAAGGGAAACATTTAGTTAAAAAGTGGTAAAGGTGGCTCTTAGGGCGCCAGTCATGCCCAATACCACTAAAGTTCATCGTATTCAAACAATTGCATCATAAAAAACAACATTCAGTGGCGTAAATCCGTGTCGACGAGGGGGGAGGGGGGGGGGTTGCTAATGGGAAAGGCCATATATTATCAAACACCACCACCCCTATTCACACGTCTTTGAAAAATATTTACTTAACAATTACAGTTGTTGGCGAGTTTAGATTAGAATCAGAAATGAGGGTAATGAGCTAGGGTAAAGTCTAGTCATGTTTACCAAAAAAGCATCTGATGTGTTTAGTTTGTTCAACTTACCTACTACATTAACATGAAAATATCACAAAGGGTATTTCCAAAAATCTATATTTCTAAAATGTTGAAGACGTGTTAAGACAAAACATGATTCAACTCAGAAGTGTTAATGTAACATTGAAATTGTCTTGATGTCAACTGTATATATCATGTTACGGTATAGCGCTTGGCTAGGTGGTGATAGTGGGTAAAGAAACATTAAATGAATGACACCGACTCTGGATTTTTTTGAGCTTGACTAATGTGGAGAACAGTTTTAATTCTCAAAACTTATTTTGATACCGGATACCGAGTTAGAGATGATTAGACGAGTACCGGACTAAAGAGTATAGGGATGAAGAAGCTTGGCTTTGCCTCTGGTTTTCAGAGAGAAGAAGAACACAATGCAAGACAGAATTAAGTGTGGACAATTGTTTAACAATGAAGAGGGGCAACTTTGGGTCAAAATGGGATAAGGAAAAAATAGCTAATATAAAACGTCATTTCTCAGTATAACGGTGGACTTACTTGATGGTCAGTTTGGGGGGAGTAGCTTTATGGGGTAATTTTCCCGGCCTGCACAAGGGTGAAATCACAATCTTGGTATAGCTATGAGGGCTTTGCTTCAAGTTGGAAACGAGTGGCGCGCGAGACCTTGGCCAGACGGTTTTTAATGTGCAACACCTGTTGTGAAAGTGAGACTGTGTATGCTTAAGGACAGTCCGAATTTCGGTATATCAACGACAAATACACAAAAAAATTGATTTTTATGACATTGCACAAAACTGGTATGATCAAAACTGTTCAGGTACAGGAACGTTTTTCCAATTTTTCGGGGGTCCCATAATGCTAAACATAGTATGATCAAAACTGTAGTTCTCTTTGTCGGTACAGCAACGTTTTCTCTCTGATTTTTAGTCCCATATTGGTCTATTTAAGTTTTTCAACCAGATGATGGGTAGTAAAGACAACGTGAAAAATGAAAAATGAAAATTATCTGTTTCATTTCACATGATGACATCTGTTTTACTGTGTTTTGATTTGTTTTCCCTTTTAAAATGTATACTTTTATCAATTGAAGTGCGGCTTGTACCAAAGATGTATTTGGGGTCAGAAACATAAAGAATAAAATATGAAGACAAAATCTAAGTGTGGTGGTGTTTTGCACTCGGGAAACATGTAGTTAAAAGTGGTTCAGGAGGCTCTAAGGGTGCTAGTCATGCCCAGTGCCACAATTGTTATAGCTCAAATCAAGGAGTAAAAATCTACAGATTAAATATTGATTTTCTCCCTCACCGATAAAATTCATCGTATTCAAACAATTGCAGCATAAAAAAACGACGTTCAGTGGCGTAAATCCGTGTCGACGAGGGGGGGGGGGGTTGCTAATGGGAAATTCCATAAATTATTAAACACCACCACCCCTTTTCTAACGTCTTTCAAAAACATTTACTGAGCAATTACGGTTGTTTACGAGTTAAGATTGGAATCAGAAATGAGGGTGAATGAGGGCAAAGTCTGGTCGTGTTTACTAAAAATCACCTGATGGGTTGAGTTTGTTACGTGGAAAAAAAACACAAAGGGTATTTCCAAAAATCTTTATTTCTAAAATATTGCAGACGTATTTGCAAAGACAAAATATAATTCAATATTCAGAAGTGTTAATGTAACATTAAAATAGTTTTGATGTCAACTGTAGAATATTATGTTATGGTAGCGATTGGCTAGGTGATGATATGGGTAAAGAAACAAATAATGAATGACACACCGACTGGATTTTCTCAAGCTTGACTACTGTAGAGAACAGTTTAATTCTCAAAACTCAGTTCGATACCGGATACCGAGTTGGAGAAGATTAGACGAGGACCGGACTAAACAGTATAGGGCTGGGGCAGCTTGGTTTTATTTGCCTCTGGTTTCCAGGGAGAAGACGAACCAGAAGAAGAATACAATGCAAGACAGAATTAAATGTGGACATTTTATAACATTTCAGAGGGGCAACCTTGGGTGAAAATAGGATATGAACTCATATAAGGAAAATATTAGCTGATGTGACAGTATTTCTGAGTAAAGGTAGCCTGACTAAAAGGTCATGGGGGATTTTTTGAGGTAATTTTCCCTGCACAAGGGTGAAATTACAATCTTGATAGGCTGTGGGCCCGAGCTTTGCTTTGAAACCAGTGGCGTGCGAGACTTTGGACAGACGATGTTCAATGTCCAACACCTGGCGTGAGAGTTTTAAGTCCGATTTTCGGTCTAATACATAGACAAATACATAAGACAAAAAAAACCTGACATTTTTTATGACATTGCTAAAAACTGGGTTGATAAAAAAACTGTTGTTTTCTTTACAGGTACATGTACATTCTGTTCTCTCTCTCTCTAATACTTTTTTGAGTTGGCTCCTCATAAAGTATTCTTCAGTTCTTCCAACTGATAATGGTTAGTAATTACGGACAAAAGATCCATTTCATTTCACACGATGACCACATATTTACTTTGGGTTTTTTTCTGTTAAAATGTATACATAATATATTAAAATGACAACCTAAGTCCAGAGGTGTATTCGGGGTCTGGACATCGAGAGTAAAATGTGATATAAGTCTGGTAAGGCTTCCTCTAGGGAAAAACGTAGTTAAACAGTGGTAAAGGTGATTTGTAGGGCGCAAGTCATGGTCATTGCTAACATTTGGCTCATTTCAAACAATTGATCAATCTGCAGATTCAATATTGGGTTTTGCCCATCAACGAAAAAAATATTCAAACAATTCCATCATAAAAAAAACAATATTTTTTATAATACGATCAATACGATGGAAGTATTCTATCCTACAGCCTTGCTGCAGCACACACTTTAAACTGAATGCAGAATAAAATGAATCGGCTGAGTTAACGGAAATATATTTGAGAGTTCCACAAGTAGGCAGCTGTAAGCAGAGCTGTTGGTCAGCAAGAATGCATGCCTTAAGTGTTGCCGTTCGTTTCTAAAATGTTAAAGAAAAATTAACATACTGCGATTTGTAAAGATGGCATGGGCACAAAATACAAGCTATACTCACATGTACTCCGTATTAGCCACGGCACGTATTCCTACTTGAATATATTACTGATTTTACGGGATTCGGACGAAACTACGCTACGCTCTCGGATGAAACTACGCTCTCGACGAAACTTTGATGTAAAGATATATCGCATATCATCAACAGCCTAACTGATCCACTTGCGATGTCTCTGCAGTGAGCCGAGCTAGACTAGTGCTTTAATAAGCCAATTCGGAATTTCGCTGGCGCATTATGTGTCAACTCAACGCAACCATGGTTTTATGTGGATAAACAAACACGTCACGTTATCCTTGTCCAATAGACGGCAAGCTTACAGCATCACGTGCGTTTGTTTATCTTCACATTCTGTTCCACAATTCTTTGCGCGAGCGAAACTCCGAACTTTGGCTAATACTGTTAATACTGTCAATAACGGTTAAGGCGCGGTCACAATGCACTGGCACATTGCGAAGGAATGTTTTTAAGAGCGATGACGTGTTGATTCTGTAAAAAAAAGTGCGGGATTTCCAAGTCTGGTTCCCAGACCGAAATATTCTGACTATTTCTGACAATTTATAGACGTCATCAGCTAAGGAGTCGGGGAAATGTCAGGTCAAGGAACCAGACTACGGGATTTCCCAGCAATATGAGCTTCGTTCCCAGAGTCTACCTCAATTCAAGTTCATTTAGTAGTAGACGGAGGTACGTGTGGGGTCTGCATTTGTCCCGCTACGTATACAACAAGCATACAATGCAATTCCTTTTTCAAAGCGCGTATTATTGTGTTCATTGTTGCATAATGATAGCTCTATGGCACGTGACAAAGATGGCGGGATCCTACAATTGCTCGAAAAATCAAACGCAGTGGGCTCACCATCCTCCCCAGACCCCATCATTTTGTAGCACATCGGTTTAAGAACGAATTTAAGGTAGCCGAATGGCCAAGTGGGTAGATTAAAACACAGATCTCAGCCCGGGTTCGAATCCCAATGGTGTATTTTTGGTTTTGCAACGCAGGCGTTCATGCAATCACCTATTTCAGGCCATCTTAATGGTTTTGGCTCTTTTTAAGAGATTTAAATTAGGCCTACTCTTGTAAAATACCAACAGTACCTTAGCTTCATCGCTTAGCTCTGATCGATGCCTGGTACTGTCTGCAAAGTCCAGGCTATCCCTTAAAGGTTTCAGGCACGACCTAATTTGAAAACCAGGATTTCATTATTTCGCGTTTTATGGCATTCGACATTCGACCAGCAATTAGACCAGAATCATCTAGCTACATGTAATTAGATACATATATAAAGTATCTAATTACATGTATTAAGCTACATGTAATTGCAATTGGTTGTATTTTAGTGAAACGCTAACTGTGATGATGGGACAGAGAATAACTTCTTCTAAGAAATTAATCCCAGAATTTATGCCGCCCGCATTACGCCATTAGAATTCTTATCAGTGCGCCACCGTTAAAGAGGAACTGCGCCCTCTGTTGCCCCGGCAAACTAAATAACAGATGAATAATGTACGCAAACTCTGTTCACGTCACCACGATCTCCCCGCAACTGGTTCGACTAACTCTTAAGTACACCGCCCCCTCTTCCTCTTAAATTAACGGATTGTATTTAATCATATATCCATCTACACATTCTCTTGTGATTATTCTTTGCACAACTAATTTTCTTTGAACAAGATATATTTCACAAATACATCAAACAATATGTTTTTCTTCAAAATGAACATGATAATACTGGGTATTTATATAGCGCACGTATCCACCAGGACTGGTGCTCAAGGCGCTACATCATTATGTGTTTACATCTGACATCAATAATTTAAAATTATGCCTTTTGAAAATTATGCCTGGTGCGGTGTGTTTAGCTGCGGCTGAATTAACAGCTGTACAAGTACCCATTTCGATCGCTCTGTAAGTCTGTAGGTTAGTCGAGTTTGTTAGTAACAACTGTTGACATTGTCTATTGCTCCTACGTATTTTGACCGATTTCAACCAAACTTTGTGATAAGTATCACTGTATCAGTAGCCCAGCCGCAACATTTCACACGACCAGCTGGGGTAAAGGTCATCATGGGGGTCAAGGTCAAAATAATGTCAAATTTGAAATAAGCTCAATTAATAAGCTCAAACACGCTCAAATGACAAAAGTAGTCCAGGTGACCTCCTCCTCTGACCTACAGCTATGGGGTCATAGGTCAAAATATGGTTAACACGCATTCGTTGGTCCGCAGCTTCCCGATCCGATTGAGCTTCTTTTCATACTGTGACATTCCAAGTGCATTTTAGGTGAACTCCGTCAAGCTAGGTAATACAGGGAATTCATCAGTCCCCTGTGCCACCACGGCCACAATCGATACCCCATAATTGGTCGACTGCTAAATATACCGCTTGCAACTTTGATTGATTTGATGATTTTGTTTAAAAACAAGATGATCTCTGAGGCTTCGGACCAATATGTGGGACTGCGTGTACGTGCCATGCAATTTCCGGACGGAGTACGTAGTGTTAAGTTCAGTGCAAACATCAGGTTTTTCGACCCTATAGTGACCCAATTTTCAAGGACTGCATAAATTGGTAGGCGGTCAGTAGAGTATCGACCCATAATGGCCTGAGCCGGGACGAAGTGATTGATAGGATTCCAAGGCTGGTGTTCATGTTTGTTACTAACTTACCAACCAACCAACTACGCAAAGACATGCGCATTAGAAGAGCTGATGCTTTCCGCAAATAATAGTGTTCATGAGTACCGATGTTAGCATCATTGCGTATATGTTGCTAGCATCGCGACTTTGGACGTGATTCAGGGCAAATAAACACACAAGTTATACATAAATCTGTGGCGTCTGGGTCTCATCCACAAATCGGGAAATCTCCAACATGGGTCTGATATGTTAGAATGTGCCAATCTGACGTTGCAGAGATTGCAGACTCAAATCCAACTTCCGTATTATCTTTGTTTCCCCTCGATGTGTTCAGTGTACTATTATCATAAACTTTGCAGGCTCGTTCATGTTAAACTCTGGTTTCTTTATTTTGATTTTCCAAATTTCAAAGGAAACATGATTATTCAGAATTAATTATCAATCATTTTGAGGGCCTATGGATTGTGCTCTAATACATTGTACGTATTCCAGTATCAACTCTTTCGCTACGGCGAGCCGCTGACAGCGGCCCATACAAATTGTACAGGTCGTACGGAGAGCCGCTGGCAGTGGCTCGGTTGCGTCGCTATGAATAAACAGGGTGTCCCCATGACGTGGGCCATATCTACATAATTTATATCGTATAACCTCTGACCCTAGTTTGAGCCGCTGCCAGCGAAAGAGTCAACAAGGAAACAGAAAACGACGGAAGAGACTTTGTACATCAGTGCTTGCTGTCATAACAAACCGCTGATAAATCAATGGTACAAAAACAACACAGTGACTTTGGATGTGACTCATAGCAAACAAAACATACGAGTAAATGGCTTCTAATTCTGGTTCCAATGCACACATTGGGAAATTTCCGACAAATGGCCGGATATCTTGGGAGTCTGCCAATCTGCACTTTCAAGAGATAAACCCAGCTCATGCGGCGCCATTTTAGGAATCAAAGCGAGGCATTTAACGCTAACAGACATGGCCGCGTAAATATCATGTGCGGTGAACGAGTGACTCTTACAAAGTTCGAGCAGATTGGCAGTCTTATAAACGGATGGATAGCTCAATCCACATTGTGGGTAGGTAACGTCCCATTGCAATTTGGTTTTCAGCCTGGAGGTTTGGTCGGTATCAAATGAGGGGAATATTAGTCATTGTGATTTTTGGCAAGGTTTGCACCTCCTCCTTGAAGTTGGAAAATGTGTGATAGGATTGTAGCAGCGGTGGCAGCCTTTTAGGTGATATCACTTGTTTTTGAATTTTTTTTTTTTTAGTTCCTATGGTGATTTGTACTTTTGAAATAAATTTAGTAGTATTGTTCAGAAACTGCACAAATCAGCTTACTCCCATTCCACCTTCTGTCTGACCAGTATCAATCATTCATATACATGTATAAAACTAAACAAATCATTTCTTTCTTGTATAAAACAGCTTATTTATTATAACAAAGTTTGGATAATTGCTTCAACTCGTTGATATCTGCAGTGTTTTGAGTTGAGTAATCCCCATCGTTCCCCCTCAGACGACCACCTCTTTGAAGAACTTTAAAACAATAAATTAGTGCGTTTGCATAAAAAAAGAAGAAGAAGAAGTGGAATTTAAAAAATCACCAAAGAGAAGACATAGATCTTGAACACATAATGCAGAAGTATGTATACAGTTTTTGTTATTTCCCAAGCTCATACCTTATTATTGTTGATTTTTTCCTTCTTAATGAGCAGGAGGATTATGTCCTTACACCTATGGTCTTTTGACTTGCAAACAGCTGAAATTGTATCGCAGAATTAGTAAACAACATATGTACGAAAACAAAACAGTATCAAGAATTGAATAATAATTTTTGTCCACAGGCGCGGATCCGGGGGGGGGGGGTTCAACCCCCAGCTCTGACTCAATTTTTCCCCCACAGAAATACATACAAAATAATGTGAACGGGGGTATTTGTACACTATTCTGTAATATAGTGTTAATGATGGTCGGATTTGAACAGCGCCCCCATTGAAAGTATAGTACGAGCCCTCGCTTTGATTTTCATGATGGCATCGCATATTTTATGTCTATAGAAATATAACATCAATCCCGGTTGGGAATTCTCATAACGTCATCTTTCTGACTAGAGGCCCCACATTCCCCTGAACTGTGCACACTCTTATTTCCTGGTGGAGGGAGCATATTTATATAGAGTCTACTCGTATTTAATTCGGTTATGAAAATACGACCACACTAGGATTTCGCAATAGTAGCCGAGGTCGTATGGCGTATTGACTGTGAGCTGCCGTTGTGAACTTCACGGGAACTTTCCAGCTGTGCATCCGAAATCGAATTCCTAGTTAGTGCTCACTCTCAGACTCTACACCAGGTAAGAAGTTAAGAAGAAAAAATGTATATGTTTTATTATGTGCTACAGTGGTTACTTATCTCTTATGAAATCGATTCACTTGCACTGGTCAACAAGTCAACTATACAAGTTCAAGCACAAGTTAACTCACAAGTAACGAACGACAAAAGAAAGAAGCCTTTGCTACCTTGGTCACATGCAGTTTATCCTCGTATGCAATACCTCATCACTTGAATTGAAACCATATGCTTAGTTAATTAAGTCGAGCCTGACGTTCCTGTCTCGGAATGCGATTGCTTTCCATGTCTCTCTTTCCCTCACTCCGGGCAATTCATCTAGGTGTAGCCCTGTGTCTTGCGATATTAAAGGAATTGCAGGTAAATTTCCTCTCCGTGTCTACTTGGGTTCCCATAGAAGTACTTTAATACAGGTTCACTGCTTCCTGAAAGCGTGACCAGCAAATCTGAGCTGTCTTTCTCTAATCTGTTCAGTTACTTCTTATGGAGATTGCTGTATAGCACCTTTATACTAGTCACACTTGAGACATTGGTTTTTGACTTGAAATTGACGTCTTGTTAAGTCTTAAGTGACTAGGTTACATTATATGCTCCATTATTCATTTTCTATTGTCATACAGAAACAAATTATACGCAAGACTGGATATTTGCCAAAACGTCTCATGATTTGTTTTCTATTGCATGTCGGTTTTTTTTAGCTTTATGTTTTGCTAATCACATGATTTACCGTGTTGTTTTCTGCTGTAAGTAGCTGACTACATAGATCTATTCACTCACAGATAGCAGTGGCGTAACACGGTCATGGGGGGGGGGGGGGTAAACATTTCTTGAAAAGGGCACTTGCTCGTCCGTGCTGAAATGTAGACACGAAAGGGGGGAGGGGCTGGTACCATCTGACGATGGAAACGCTGTTCAAAACCGACGATTGTTCACACTAATCTATATATATAAGAGAGAAGTTTACTCGCCCCCGAGACGATGTTTGCTCCTGAAAGGATCCGAGACCGCGGGCTCCCGCTGCGCCAAAATCGCTCCACGTCCGTGGAAAAATACGGAGGGTGTCTTCCGCCGGGTCGGACGCTTCGGGTCGTCCTGATTTTCCCGTACGGACTGGCGATCCGTTTCGTCGATTTTTCGTGACTGCGTTTTTCGCAGGAATTTGCCGTCGTGTGCGCTTTCACGTTGACTGCCTGGCCGCCCCCCGTGCTGGCTTTTCTGCGTGTCTAGACTGTGCGAAGTCAGCGAGGTCAACGTAGGGGTTTCGTTTACGTGTTCTACTCGGCCCTTCTGCAAAAGCGTTCACCAAACGTTAGTAGGCCTACGTGGTGACCTTGGTAAAATATTTTTTGTCCATGGTGCGTGGCCACCAAGTGTCCCTATTCTTTCATATGCTTCGCTTGCCGCCCCTGCGCCGAGTGCAACGAATACTCAGAAGGACTACACATTAGTATGCCTAGCGCGGTCTGACCAATCGAAAGTCTACACTGCGTGGTACTTCCCGGCTATGCGTAAAACCGTCACTGGCAACGCGTACTGCAGCCTGCTCCACACCCTGGAAACGAGGTTGAGTCTACGGTGCTCGCTATTTGAAGCACACGCATGTGACGTCGCGTGATAGAGTGCTGTTGCTTCCATCATGTGTTTACAGCTCCATGCATCCACCAAGGCTGACCGTTGTGAGTTCGCTGCCCGCCACGTATAATTCAGTGTCGCGTTGTAATGGGGGCCTGTTTGGGATCAACGAAGGATCGATGCATTGCTTCAAATACCGCGATCTTAAACGCTGTCACAAAAAATCGACAAAATAGTGTCCGACCCGGTGGAACACACCCTCCACATTTTTCCACGGACGTGAAGCCGCGGTCTCGGATCCTTTCATTGGAGCAAACATTTCTCGGAGGCCGAGTAAAACTTGCTCTTATATAGATGGTTGAACCAACTTGAATAAAAGTTGACTCGACTTTTTCCTCGCAGACAGTCTCGCAAATTGTAAGAAGTTCAAGTTTACGTTTGTTGAAGAGAACAATACTGAAATTTAATTATGACCTTCCTCCATGATTCAGACCGTTTGTAATTTTATGGTAACACTCAACATTTTCATTTCAAATGACACCTTCACGTTTTATTGCATTATGATTTATTGTCAAAACTGTACAATCAGCCATCGCCTGTGTACTACGGTAACCTTTTCACTACGTTTTCCAAATGCGACTGCCTCACAAATGCGACTGATTCTATTGCTCAGAATACATGTAGCTGATTCAATTACTCCAAACTCAAAACTTTAAAAGATGATCTTCTGCTCAAATTGGTTTCAGTGGTCAGAAATTGCCTCAGATCACGCCACAGAAATTGCTTTACTATAACTGCATGTCTCCCAACTATATCCCCCATTTACATTTAACTCCCCACATTTTCATCCCATTTTCAGCTTGTGGACAATAATGTGCTTTTTCAGGGCAATACAAAAAAGGCACCAGGAACGACCGATGGGACAAAAAAAGGCACGACTTCTTTTTAAAAAGGGAAATTTTGACAAAAAAAACAGGACACTCTATACAAACTATTGGGGGGGGGGGGGAAGCGCTGGTGAAAAAAGGCATTTGAATGGAAAAAGGCAGTCTTTACAAAATATTTTGGGGTAAATCCCCCCCACGCCTATGGATATTACGCCTTCCCCTCTATTTCTCTAAACACTGCATGATATTTTACCCTCTCAGGTTGCAAATTAAATTGCAAACGAAATCAATCTCTTTTCTCTAAACGCCACGCCCAGGAGAGGAGCGCCACTAAAAAACCGCGCCGCCACGCCCATGCAAGAGGAGATTATATTTAGAAAGGAAATAGAAATCGCCACGTGCCAATGACAGTACTTAATTCTTTCTTACACGAAGCTGACCTACTGGTATATAGAATATACATGTATTTAACTATAGAATATATTTAATTACATTTTGAAAGGAAGAAGAAATCGCCGCGTGCCAATGACAGTACTTAATTCTTTCTTACACGAAGCTGACCTACTGGTATATAGAATATACATGTATTTAACTATAGAATATATTTAATTACATTTTGAAAGGAAGAAGAAATCGCCGCGTGCCAATGACAGTACTTAATTCTTTCTTACACGAAGCTGACCTACTGGTATATAGAATATACATGTATTTAACTATAGAATATATTTAATTACATTTTGAAAGGAAGTAGAAATCGCCGCGTGCCAATGACAGTACTTAATTCTTTCTTACACGAAGCTGACCTACTGGTATATAGAATATACATTTATTTAACTATAGAATATATTTAATTACATTTTGAAAGGAAGTAGAAAGCGCCGCGAGCCAATGACAGTACTTCTTGTTTACATGAAGCTTCAGGCCCCCGTATTCCTGGTTCACACGATTGTATCACGGGCCATACAAGGCCAACGGAAAAATAGATGACTCGGACCGTGCGCATGGGCACTACAGTAAATAAGCCTCGGTACTAATGACGTCGCACTTTGTTAACATGTTCACTTTCCTATGGAGCCACTGGGGGCCCACGGTGAGCACACAGGAAAGCACACGCAGTCTTTTTTTACTATACGGCTGAGGACAACTATTGTGTTTCCCTTTGTCCCTCTATAACACTTTCCCATAGACTAAGCACATAACCGAACGATCGAGGACCGGTTTTAACAATAGGCACCGTCGTCCGTGGGTCAAAAGCTCCTTTGTGCTCCTTTTGTTGTCTGTCCTCGAGCGTAATACAATACAAGAGCACACACACACACACGACAATAAACGGTTTTCCCCGCTAGCATGCATGATGCAGACCACGCACGACGGCTGCGTCTTACGAAGCGGGACAAACTAAACATTACACTAATATCGAAGACGAGAGCAATCCAGTCAGTTACAACAGATGGAAGATAGAAAATACAATACATTTTTCAAGTTTGACTGGTATTTGTAGGGGAAAAGATATCTGTAAATATTATATAGAGTGGAATTACTGTACCTTTTTCTGCGCGGTTAGGCTTAGAATTGGAATTCACCGATTTATCTTCAACTTCCGTCGAATAATTTGTTTATTTCAAATTCATTTTTTATGGAAACAAACCAAAAGTCCTAAAAATGTATATTTTCATGTACAGTTTATTAGAATGCATGTACGATTTTGCAAGAAAGAGGTTCCTTCATATCACTATTATTTTCGTCCGCCTGATTAACCGTTGGAGCAACTATTTAAAAAAGAAAAAGAAATATTCGATTCTAGATATCGAATACCGTTTGCATGGGCGAATACTTACTCTTATTGTGCTTTCAGTTTATAGTACAATGCGATACTTTTGGTATCGATACTTACTCATTTCGGCAGTGCCGAGTTCTGTTTTGGAATGATGGTTTATATATATATTTTTTGTATGGGAGTACACAACACGCCATGAACAGGAACATGCAAACTCAAGTGCCCCAAATGTCAAACCACACTATTTCTAGGACATTTAAGTTGTCTGACTTTTTTTTGGACCTTGGACCACAGTTAATATTTTAAAATATAAAAAATTATAAACAAAGAGGCTTATTTAATGGATACCGACTCGTATGGAGGATTTGTTTAAGAGGATACGGGTATTCAGATTTTGCCTACCCATTTATTTGTAAATTTTGCATAACATTTGACCCCAATTGTTTTGGCCTTGTAAAATATCTCAAAAGACAGGAGTTAGGTACCAATTTAGAAATGATGTCATGGGACTGACAAAAGGAGCATGCTACTTTGCCAATTATAAACAAAGACTGACTCTAATATAGGTTTTCCTATGCTATTTTTGCGAAATTGGCCGGGAAAACCTATATAATACATTAAGAAGAATTTCTGTGTAGGCCTAAGCCTCGATGTCAGGCATTTTATAACCACATATAACATTCAAGTGGATTTAGGTGTGTATAAATTTGCGATTGAGAATCTGAATTTTAGTTATGTATTTGTTTAAGTTACAGAAGTTGCACAAAA